GGTAAATAGAAACGTAGTTCAAAATCAAAAAAATGCAACATCTTCAAATGAAGTGAATACAGTCAAAACTGTAAAAACATATCAATCACAAACGGTTATAGAAGAGGTGACAACGACAGTTACAAAAACTATACGTACCGTTAATACACAAGAAGTAAAGAATGCTAGTCAAATGGTTTCTAGGTCAATAAGGCCTCAAACAATACACCAACCCAGAAATCCTAATCAGGCTACAGCTACTAGACAAGCGTCATTTGTTGGAGCTAAAGTTAGAAATTATGGACCTCAAGTTCGGCCTGTCGTAGCCAATTCCTCTATCGCGTTAATTCCCACACGGCCACGATTCACTAAACCCCAAATGCCTAGTCCATCAACTATAAGAAAACCAACGCCAATTGTACAAAGTAGGCCTCGAGCAATTACCTGTAACAGACCACTACGATCAGTATCACCAGCGTCTAAAAGAACTTCCGATGAAGTTGGCCACTTCAGTTGCTTTAAAAAGGCTAAAGAAACACTTTTTCCCGTTGATGGAGTTACAAGCACAAAAGATGAGGATAACGTACAATATTCTAGTATGAAAAGCAAGTCCACTTTTTCCAATGTCACTCAAGTTCAAAAAGGTGGTTCCCAAATGAGATCTGAAACAAGTACGAGTTCTCAACAAAGTATATCTAAATTAAGTGGCGTGTCAGGATTAAAAATTGTAAAAACTAGCAGCAAGCAAGCAACTCAGGTTGAGGAAAAGTGCGATTTGCCTGCTCCTAAGAATAGTACAATGGCTGCTTTAGAGAAACTGCAAAAACAGGGCTTACTAATAAAGAAACCACGATTGGACATGGAAAGTGAAACTCACTCTCATAGCGAAAACGAAGAAAATGACGACGGTGGTGAATATTGACAGTGATTATATTATTTTTTGTTGTAAGACTGGTATAGTTAAAATGTATATTTGGCTATATTAAGTTTTTTTTGTTGCTGCGTGTAGTTTAAGGTTGTTGGTGGCGTCGGGTTGTTGCTCTCCCTGAAATGTGTGCGATGGGGACGATGGCTGGCCATTATTCGCGCTCGTGAACGTGTGCTATTTGTATTGAACTCGTGTGTTTACGATTTATAATTTCAAACATTCACTTTACACTTATAAAATTGATCGACGTGTTTGTATTGTTCTCACTATAATGTTAGTGCGCGCATCTATTTTACCCACTGATTCTTAGCGTTTATTAAAATGACTTTCTTTCAATATCTAGAGAAATTTACTTGTACACCAAAACATGGCAATAAATAGTGTCGAAGGGTTTATTGCCAGTTCTTACGCCCTTGAATTGGGAACTGGTGGTGTATAAATTCAGATCTTCCTTTTTTTTCAAACATTGACATTGACAAACGTTGACTAATAATTAGTAATAAATTTTTTTTTGATTTCATTGCTGTAAATACATGTACAGAAAAGTTTGAACATGCCGTAGCTCCTAAATCATATTGGATGATATGATTTAAATAAGCTTATTTAAAATAAGAGTTTAAATAAAAAATAACAATAACGAAGTAGTTTTATTTTTAACCACCTTTTTATTTACATAAAAGTATCAAGTAATATGGGTATTATAAGTCCTTCAGATATATGAAAAATATGTTTAGACAAATATAGATGAATATATCTATGATATTTCAAGAATAATTATATAAAAATCTCATTAGTGGGAGTGTTTTATTCCTGCTTCGCGTTGTACTTATTTTGTCTCCATTTCTGATCCTGAAATTATTAAACTTGTAAGAAATGGAATTAAATATTGTACAATGCACATTAAAATCGTTTAAGCTACATAACACCTACATAGAAAATACAAGCATTCTAGAACTATGCAAATAATGAAAAGGAATAACACAAAGCACCTACTTTAACATACTGTTGGGCGCCACTGTCTTGTCACTTTTCATGAAATAATTTTTATATAAAATACTTCAATCATGCTTAAAATTTAAATTGACAATGATAGAATCAGCAACGACAGATTTTCACGTACACATTGCCCAAATTGCAAAACTATAACCCAATTGATGAATGTTGCCCTACGGTGCAAGAAGGCTTGTAATCGAGCATAGATATTCTGGCAATTTTACCAGAAAAAACTCATTGCAAACTTCAAATTCAAGATTTGCAATAAGTACAAAATTGCCCTTGAACTAGCCCGCTTACAATACTTTTAAGAATAGAATGAAACATGATAATTATTAGCCGGGTAAAAGGAAAACTAATTTAGAAATGGCTGAGGTAGAAAGACTTATCTTTGTGGGTGTGACTAACTATATAAAAAACATAAGAGCTCGGCATTCGTGCCATATTATGTTTCTGATTTTTATTATTTTGTTCAGACGATATATGTGCAAATAGGACAAGTCATATCGGCAGCCATTTTAAAGATGTTTTTCTTTTACACGTCTTATAAAATATCACGTACCAACACTGCTATTTCATTAGAGAGCCGGTACGCAATTGCTCGCAATTTGTAGCGCAACTTCAACGCTCCGCGCAAATGATTTTTCTTGTACATCGTGTTGAGGAGAGTGTACATATTGCAGCAGTGCAACAAAAGGAACAAAACAGCTAAGTAAGGTACCTGTAGATAATAAAGCAATTTAAATAAATCTGCAAATAAAAGAAATCATTTATTTTCTATCTAAGAAATAATTACAACCACTATAACGCATAAATGAAATACAAAGCGCTAAGTACATGTTTTAATAAATAACAGATCTTTGTACCCTTATCAACTACACATTGAATACAGATGACTAGTTGAACGATAGGTGGATCACAATGACTTCTATACATACTTAGATCAATTGTAGCTCTAACGTAAGCTAAGTTCACACTAGTTTAAAGTTAAAACTTCTAGGGACGAGGTAATATTTTTAATACAAATAATAATCATATAAATTTGGCTTATATTTTGCTTTACTAGAGCTACTGATACAAAAATTACGTATAATTTATAACGTTCTAGGGAGCCAGTACTTAAGAAATGTTAAGTGCAAAACGACCCTTTCCATAAAACGTCGAAGTCATTGAATTTCCAATTACATAAATGGCGCTCATAATGTATTTGTAACATTTTCAATTGTGCGTCACATTTTACAAAATCGTGATTCATCTACAGTAGGAACAGTTGTAAATATCGTCAAAGGTTATTTAAAAAATTTGTATACTAATCCCGTATCCCATAAAACACACCTTCAATATAAACATAAGGCAAATATTCGTTCAATAAATTAACTTCGTTCTATACACATTTACATTATATAAAAAAATGAGATTTTGTAAAGAATCATTTCCTAACACTACACACGGATAAATAAAGTTTAAAATAAATACATATAAAATGCTAAAATACTTTGTCACTATTATACAAGCGACATCAGTAAGCCTAACAATCGGAGACAACAATCAAAATTTAAAATTAATGAATATTCCAATTAAAGCACATTGGACCATTGCACATGCTACCATTAATTATCAAATGATTTGATATTCTGAATACGAAAAATACAATGCAAAATAAAATAGCAGAAGAATGGCACAATGACGAATAATACTTAAGCTTGTTCACATTTGAAGTATTTTTCCTTTAATAATAATTTATAATCACCAGTGACTATAGGTAGTTTACACAAATAATTTAGTAATAAATCATTATGTTTTATGACCAATTATCTCAAAGTCTGTCATACTAAGGAAATACCAATGTTTTTTAGATATTTTATATTTACAGTGTTATAATAATTAGCGTTATTAACAGTTTTAATGACGCTAAAAATTTCAACGCACATTGTGTAAGAATAAAAATGTAGCTATTTTTATGAAATGATCTGGTTTCAGAAACAAGAATTGGCGCTCGATTCTGAATCTTACTCTAATTGTGAACTAAGTCCGAGTTATAATTGTCTCTGAATCCAGACTCAAATGTCTAAGTTAAAGTGTTTAAAGTTTAATAAGAAAGTAATAATTTATAAAAAACGTATACTAAAATTGCGCTCTATATTGTCTTCGATCAAAAATTTTATACATTATATTCGGTCTTTATAATGCTGTACACTTGCCAAAGTAAACAATATTAATTGTTGATCTCAGAACAAAAAAATACTTAAACCCTAGAGTGGGTGCATTTAATTGACATCAGTGGACGCACAATTAATATACAATGCCCGTAACCAAAGTAGAAGAATTCCTATGCAAAGTGTCTATGGTATAGATAAGATTAGTCGTAACACATCTTCAATGCTGCAGGCGCCAAAATTTCTCAAATGCGCCCACTCCAGAGATAAACTTACAGCTATAGTGTCACAAGCATATCTGATCGGTTAGTAAAAACCTTGAATGTCAAACATCTAGAAGACTACAGAATAACGGATTAGATAGAATGGTGGCACCATGCTTCACAAAATGACTACTATTTGAACTCTCTGTGCAAGGAGGTTCCTAACGTCACAAGCGTATCTGACCCAAGGTAAACTGGAATCAGGTGATGTATATCAATAGGGGTCAGATAAGTTTATAACTACTACACATGCTTTTCGATGTCTAAATTTGAAGCTTAAATCCAACGTTTCCAGGCAGAGATTATAGTAATTTTCAAAAATAGATTTTTTAGTATATTTTATATCTGAGGGGTATAAAAGCAAAGGCGCTTCAGTCCATTTTAGCTATTTTTTATCTGGTCATACCAAATTGTAGCCCTCGAAAGCAGCAACAATAACTTAAAAACCATTAAGTGCAAATCCGCCTCAATTCGATTAAAATTCTCTTTGAAAAAAGCGTTTACATGCAAAACGGCTTAGATCCTAAATTAGTTAGAAGCAAATCCGCCTGAGTCTCAATCGACCAATCCGAAGCCACTATTTCAAATTTTCTAAGATGGCGATTCTGTTACTTTTTCATAGTAAGGTGACTGTGGCTTGCGTCTTAATATTTTGTGGTTTCGCGATATATATTGTGTGTAATGGAAGAAAATATTCAACCTGCTCGTGCAGGACGAGCTAGTAAACGAGTGAGAAATGAAAATCAGTGGCGACGGTACGAGATAAGGCAAAAAGGTAACTACCAATTCACTAGCATTTCGCCCGTTAGTAGGGTCTGCAGAAGCTTTCTCTAAGACATTTTTTTGCAATTATTTATTTGTTGTTGTCAATAACAAAATTCATACGCTTTAGTTGCATGTGACTGTGTGTCCTTTTTAATTTACTATTGGTAATGGTTCTTTTTTCATTTGCTCAAGGTATTCTGCAAAAAGTCTGCCGCAATTACCTGCATGCCAGCATAATAAAAAAGCTATTTATGAATGCAAAAACGTTACTTTGGTTGATGCAAAAAATTTCATGATGCTTACTACTCTAACAAAACTAAACAAACCCAAGATGCTTTTTTGCTAAAATTTAGTCATGTTACTGAAGTTAAACGGCGTCGTCCTAGAACGGGAACAGAAGGTACACGCCAGGCCAATTACTCGACAAAGTTGTTCATAAAAAAACGGAATTCCAGCACATTACTTCACGTTTGCCAATCATCATTTTTGGGAATATTGCAAATACCACGAAATAGAATCCGTAGAGTAGCAGAAACTTTCAAAAAAACTGGTGGTCTCGTTAAAGAAAATAGAGGTGGAGATCATACATCCCACAAAAATGTCTATAAACTGCAGGAAGTTAAATCCTTTATAGAATCTTTGCAGTGCATCGAGTCACATTATTGTCGGTCTACCACAGAAAGAAAATACTTGGATTCGACGTTAAATATAAAAAAACTGTGGCAAATATACAATGAACAAGCAGTTAATACCGTCAAACAATGCTATTTTCGCAGAATTTTCACCACTCAATACAATATTGGGTTTGGTAATCCAAGAACGGATGTTTGTTCCAAATGCACGGAATTAGAAGAGCAAATTAAAAATGAAAAAAACGAATCAGTGAAAGCAAAATATATGATTGAAAAGACCATTCATAAACGCAAAGCAAAAAAATTTTACCAACTACTAAATCAAAGACAAGATGGAATGATAACACTATCATTTGACTGCCAAAAGAACCAGGTTCTTCCAAAACTACCGGATCAAATTACCTATTACAGCAGACAACTTTATATTTATAATTTCGCAGTTGTACTAGCAGTGGAAGGAAAAAGGCTTAACAAAGATACAGTTACTTTATACACGTGGAACGAAAATGAATATAAAAAAGGAGCTAATGAAATTGCTTCTGGAGTTTATCACCGATTAAATGCACTAGATTTGAATGGAATTGAGACGTTGCGATTAGTGGCTGATGGTTGCGGGGCTCAAAACAAAAACTCAATTTTTATTGGAATGTGCTGCGTGTGGTTATGGAATGCCCCTAATAACATAAAAAACATTGAACTTGTTTTTCCAATACCAGGTCACTCTTTTCTACCTGCTGACAGAGTGTTTGGTAATGTTGAAAGGGAGTTAAAAAGGAAGGAAGTAATTGTACAACCAGAGGAGTACCACAATATTTTTAACAAATATGGCCTAGTTGTGCAAATGGAGATGGTGTACGACTGGAAAAATGCTCTGCACGATGTCATTAAGCCGCCTGGTCTATGGCATTTTCAATTCGCTCAAAGTAAGCGGTTTTTTATCAATAAAAATGGTAATAAGGTGAAAGTAAAAGGTGAACCTCATTATACATCGGACTTTACCCAATACAAATCTATTTTAAAAAAGAGGAAAATCTTTTAAAGATGTACTGCCACTGCCAGTTGCAAAAAACAATGTCATCATCAAAAAAGACAAAATCAGTGACGTGAGGAAGTTGTTGGAAAAACATTATGGATCGCAGTGGGAAAGTCATCCAGAACTGGAATATTACAAAAAAATTATTAATGAGGCTATTGATGATGATATTCAAGAAAATGAGCCATCTTGCGATCCACCAACAGTTGACTCATATATAATGATTTAGAAAAGTTAAGTCCTTAAATAAAAATAAATGATTATTAGAGTAACTTGTTTTATTTTGCAATCAGTACATTCCCCCCGTCACATTTTTCGAATTAAATAGTGAGATGCAAATTCGCTTCGATCCCAAGCAATGAAGAGCAAACATACTTCAGTCCAATGTTTAAATGCATATGCACCTAAGTCCTAAATATATCTCTAAATTATGATAAATATAACGTGAATTTCATTATTTTCGTTACTGTTATTTAAATCCTCAGTTCTAATTAATGTACCAATAACAGAATCTGGCCAAAATAACAATTCATTACACCACAGTAGAATATTGCAAATAACTCAGTTTAAGTGTTTTGTGACTGAAGCGCCTTTGCTTTTATACCCCTCATCTATACTGTTGTACAGAAGACTTATTTACAAATATATTATATAATCTGCCACTGTAATTTTCGCGATTCGGATTTGGGAGCGTTCAAGTATGACGTAACGCAATTTTTGGAGATTATTGACCCCCCCCCCCCCATGTAACTCGCCGTAACGTTATTCAGTACCCAAGTACAGTAAAACGTTTCGTGACCACCTAGTTACTATTATGTGGTGTAAGTCGAAAAAAATATTAACAATAACGCGTAATTTAATCCCCGCCCCGCATCGTAACGTTTTATAATAGGAACCCCCCTCCCAAAATACGTTACGTTATACTTGAACGCTCCCTTTACCATGAACTTTTAATGACTGACACACGTTCCTGCGTAATGCACCTTAATACAGAGTAATAAAGACGCCAATACAATTCACGGAATATATCGAATCAGTCTTTAACAATGCTCATGGTATGCCCTGGAAGCACTGGTCACAACTCAATCCTGTACCTGTTCGTTGAGCTTCTGTGGTATCACGAGGAATGTGGTGACGGTGTTTCCAATGCCGAGTAACAGGAAGGACATACTTAACGCGGCTACCTGTTTTTTGTGTTAGGGGGTAGTTTTAAAAAACGAATAGACCTGTGCGTAGTTTTATATCTGTGTCTAGTCTTAAATATCTATTGATTCTTCCTAAATTATGCCGTTAACGCACTGTTTGATTTATGAAACCTAAATATTTACTACGGCACCAATTTTGATTAATTTTGTTTTAGAGATGACGTGATTTAGGAACAGATATGCTATTTTTAATCTAACTATATTAATGAAGAAATCTGATAATTTATAACCTTAGGACTTTGAAGTATGATATGCTACTTTTATAAAATGATAAACTTTATAAAACAGAAATCAATACTGAGATTATTAAAGTATATAAGGTAGATAATAATTGATAAAACAATTGGAAATCATATATGTAACTAAATGGAATTACAAAGACTAGATTTTTTTAAACAAATAAAACTAGTGTTATAAATATGTGCACAATTAACATTGCACCTCACTCCCGGGAAAATAAATAAAGATTAAAACAGAAAACTAATAGCCACACTAACTGTTAAGTCCCTTTCTTACTGTGTTTTATAATTTTAAATTAAAATGATGATCAAAATTTGATACTAGTCTATGTGAATCCATATAATTTTATACATAAATAACATAGTAAAAATGAAAACTGCTTTATTTATTAGCCTAGTAAGAAAAATAATAAACATACCTGCCATGTCGCATCCGGGTTATAACTCAAGTGATACAGCGTATATGCAATGTATAATTGGAATATATAGCCTCCAAAGAGGAATGGTAGGAGATAGGATAAACCACGCCACATCCAGGAATGAAAGCCTTCAATTGTTATATCCATGTTATGTCTTGCACCTAATGCTTTGAGCCGATACAAAACTCCACTTTGGTATCTAAATTGCATGTACTGTACGACACCTGAAAGATAAATTATATTATTAATGGAAGTCGAATTATTCTGTTTATTAATAATTAGTTTGTTTCTTAGACAAAACATATTAAATAAGCCAAAGAGACAATTCATGCCATCTTATATCACAAGCATATCAGGTACTAAGTTGTGTTACAAGGAATTGATTTATTAATTCAAAGTAAAATAACATTTTTAACATATTTACATATAGGCTTTGAGTTACTGATACTTTGTTTATATTATTAACTACTTTTCAATTCAATCTTGGCTTGTATTTAAATTATAAAATACTTACTAATATACGCAATAAACCACATAAATGTATGCTTGAATTCTTCCCATGACTCATTTTGGGGCCAAATGAGGAGAATGCCAGCGACAACAGTTGATACGAAGTGGTGCAACCTCCACCAGCCTTTAATCCGGGAGCCATTCACTTTAAGTATACTCTCGCGTATTGTCAAAGTGCAGTAGTACCAAACCAGAAGGAATATAAGAATCAGTTGTAAGGGCCTGGTGAACATGAACGGAATTATGAGGTTTAATTTAATCTTAATTGTTTATTTTAAGGCTATGCCATCAAACATGAAAGTTATGTGCACTTAAATTGGTGAAACAAGTATGATAAATTACTAAATAGTATTAGATGGTATTTAAGAAGTAAATAAGTTCAGAGCTTCATACCTGAAATCAATATACAAATTAGCAATAGCTAAAACAAAAGCAATGGCACTCAGGATCAACTTAAATTTTTCATATTCATCTTTGTATTTGAATCTGAAAATAAAATTTAAAACTTCATGTAAAACTAAATTTAACTAAAAATCATTTTACTCAAAAGGTGGTGCATGTTTTATGTAAATGAATAAAATCCTGTGAGTATTTCAAAGTAAATAAGACTAATATTGTGGCACTGTATAATTATTTTTAATTATTAAGAGTGCAAAAAATATAAAAGATAATTTACTGATAAGTGATACAATTTTTATAAATATGTAATACATACTTATCATTTTTATTAAGAATAGACACATTGACATTGCCAAGTATCACTTTGAGATATAGACTGTTCTGTTTAGGAAGAGTTGCCTCAATCTCATGTAACATGGCTTTCCTTTTCATAATTTCTTTTTCCAAGTTAGCTACTCGTTCATCTTTAGTAGCTTTTTTCTCCATTCTAGAAGTATTAAAATGATTTAGAATTAGAAACTAATTTCTTACTGCTTCTTTAGAAATTACCACTATTTATTATAATTTGTTACATAAATATCTAAAAAGCATTACTTATCTAAAATTAAATAAAATTAAGTATATAATGTCAATTATATAACAATATTACTTTTTAAATTCATATTTTCATAACAATACAATATATATGATTCATCAATATTTAAGGATTAGTATTGAAATGTTATTTAACTGCTTAATCATACAAATTAAATAATCAATCTACTAATGACTGATAAACACAATACAACACAAAGTCATTGTTATCAGATTTTGTACCGGTTATATTTAAAAGCATTATTGATGATTTATATTGTTTTATATATAAATGAGACATGGATTTTTTCTGATTTATAGATAATTTTATAGTGGCAATATTACTTCTATTTAAATATTTTTTATTAATTTTGTAGTTTTTATATTTACCGATTGGTATAGATTATAATATAAAATATCCTCACAAACTATGGTATGGGCAGTAATTTTCTAGTAATGTCTAATGTCCTAAGAATGTTTAAATGAAGCATAATAAGATAAGTGTGCATTTGAAATGATCGTAAGTTAACATAAACTGACCTTTTAAGTGCATTTGTCATGATAGACATTCGATATCTTTGATGGTTTAACTCCTTCAAGCATGATGCTTGCAGTTCACCAACTTCTTCCAGTTTTGTGGCATAGTCCTTATTAATAGCCTGAAATTATAGATTCTGCATGTAAAAAATACTTAAAAATTAAGCGCAATATTTAATATAAAATAGCCTAAAATTAAAATTGATTATATTTTGGCCTTTGATCCAGACATTGATTTGATATTGTGTAAGTTATTGCGAGAGTGGCAGTTTTTACTGTGAAGATTTAATACCTAAAATTTATTAAATAAATTAAAGCGAACAAGTTATTTAATCAAAAAGCACTACCTCTAATCGTTTGTAGTCGACAATCAAATCTTCCCATTCCTTAACACATTCTGATATATCCATATTATTCATGTTGACTATGCACTAAGTATAATTGAAACTAAAATAAAACTAAGAATTCAAAAGCGACTAAAATGCATTATTTGTTGAGTTTCAAAAGTAGTTAAAACACTTGCAACTAAATCCAACTTCGAGTTTCTCGTGCTAAACTGAATTGAGATTTGAGAATTCTCGAGCTTGCATGAACTGTAAACTTGTGAAGTTTCAAATAGGCTAGCTAAGATGTCAACTGCCAGTTGTCAGTTTATGACGAATGGGAACAAAAAATTACTAAAGAAAACTGTAAGAATGTGCGTTTTCCAATTACAGAGCATTATGCGACGCAGTGCCGCACAATGCCGCATAATGCTGAAGCTTAATTGGAACGTGAATTAGTGCGTTTTCCAATTACAGAGCATTATGCGACGCAGTGCCGCACAATGCCGCATAATGGGGCGTTCCCACGGAGCGTTAATCACGACAGTCAACTACGCTAGTCAACTGTCGTTCGTGACACTCACGAAAGTGTGAATTGATGAAACGTTCACTGGTTGGGGGATTTCGTGCCGTTCACGCTTCGTGTTTCGACTTAGTCATTATCGAAACATCGATCATGAATGATCTGGTTGTTGAAAGTTGTGCTGTTTTAAGTTCGGTTTTTGCTACTATCATAGCAAAAAGATCATGACACAAGAAAACGAAAAAAAGACGTTCATTCATGACTTATTCTCATGCTGCGGCGGCACGTAAATCTCTATCACGGTATTCCTCCAAACTTGGATCATATAACACCTTTTCCATAGAATATAACTCCAAAAAACGCGTAGTTTCACTGTCGTTAAACTTATTCCACGTTGTTGTGACGACATCTTGGCTTCACGAACGGTATATCACGACTGAAAATCAAACACGTTTGATCTATCCACGCTTGTGTCGTGCGCCGTTCCTCACGAAAGCAAGTTTAACGCCTATGCGTTCACACAGAAGTGTATTTCACGAAAGCGTGGTTGACTGTCGTGATTACGCCTCGTGGGAACGCCCCATAATGCTGAAGCTTAATTGGAACGTGAATTAGTTTTCAAATGCATCAGCAGAGTGCGCTAAGTCAGTGTTGAAAAAAAAAATGTTCTGAATAGAGTTAGCAACCTCATTAATGTATAAATAATTTAGGTTAACAATAATAATTGGTTGAAAACTTTTTACGCTTATTTTAATAATCAAATTATTTCATTAACATTTTTTACTGAAATAAGAGAAAACCTTTAAAGAATATAAGGTTTTAACAAGCTAAATTAACAGTAAAATATATAGTTTCATGTAAGAAGTTTACATCATTTACGTTTTGAGTAATTTTTTTAAAATGATTTCTAAAAAAATTATATACTTTTTCAAAACCATTGCAATGTTTACAAAAGTATAATCCTGTAAAATTAATTTGTTTACAGATCCGATTTTTAAATAAAATTGTATTCATATTTTAAATGTGGAATATAAAAAAAGTAACTATTTATACCTTCATCCATACTTATATTTATTTTTTTTAGCAGTTTGAAATAACTTTAATTATTTTCAAAATCTACGACGAAACGAAAGCCTTAAAAATTTTTCAACAATAAATAATATTTACTAACGAAAATTTTGATAAATGCCAACTTAAAGAAAAACACTGGTCAATTTTCTGTCACTATGTTGGTATTTATTGCGAGAAGCACGCGAGAGCATTCGTTTTGAGAGTGCTCAATTGTGCGAAGCGCTGCTGTAGTTGGAACATTCAACGTTGAGCATTATGCCGCATAATGCGCTCTAGTGCTGTAATTGGAAAACGCACATTATCAATTATTGCTCGCCCCAGGGGGTTTAGTCAAGATGCCTTAACAGTAGAAAGTCGAACATTTTGTATGAAAATGACAGTTACTTCCTACAACTAAAACGCGTCTCGGGTCATTAGTGAAATCCATTTGTCATTGAGACGCCAATTTATAAAATAGAAAAAGTACTATATGTCATTGTCATACAGTCTATACTTTGATTAAGATCAAAGTATAGACAGTCAGTCAGTCTGTCTGTGCCAAAGAGCCGAAATTTGATGTGTCATACAGTCTATAAGTATAGCAGTATTATTTCCCGATGACAATAAACTAATGTTTTCTATTTGAACGTTTTTGAAGTTATTGGGCCGGAGGCTTAAGACAAAAAACTAACTTGAGCTAATTCCCATACAAATTCCTTTCACGTTAGTGAGCCATGCCTGTACATATTTAGAGGTATATAATCAAATGAGAAAGTGCCCGGAGGATAATTCAAAAGTCGAAAAATAAGGACCACCCTAATAACTATATAATACTAGCTGATCCGGCAAACGTCGTTTTGCCGGATTAGTTAGTGTAGTATGTATCATTTATAATAAAAAATAGGGGTTGATCGTAGAGGGGTGAAAATTAGGGGTCGTATGTATTTTTTAATGCTGTATCATAAAAAAGTAAAATTTATCTAAAAATTAAAAAAAAATTTTTGGGGTGGACTACCCTTAACATTTAGGGGGATGAAAAATAGATGGTGTCCGATTCTCAGACATACCCAATATTAACACAAAATTTCATGAGAATCGGTAAAGCCGTTTCGGAGGAGTTTAACTACAAACACCGCGACACGAGAATTTTATATATTAGATATACATACTGTTGCGTTAGGTTTGAGGCATGAAATTAAATGTACCCCAAAAATCACTCTGGAGGCGTTTATAAATAATTGTTTAATTAATTAAAAACAGTTTTTTATTGACATATCTGATTTATTTACAGAAAATATTAGACCAAATTCTATGAAATTTTGGTAGGTAAGATACTATATAAATTTAGATAAATACAGTGGTTATATAGCCCCTCTTGTGGATAAGGTGGCCTAATATTCATTAAGTATCAAGAGGTTTGGTTAAATTTAAATATTTTAGATAAGCATTGTTGATATAAGTGCAAGTTCTATTTCTCGATAATTGTAATACAAATTCTTATTTAAAACATACATTATTTGCAAGCTTCAAATTAATCTTCTCTCAAGGAGATTATAATGGCAGAAAACACTGAGCGCTTTATAAAGTACAAATAGCAATGGAAAGCTTTGTGTGATTAGTTTCATTACTAGAACCGGCAGAAAGACAGCGTGCAGTGTTCTACTAGGCGTACAGAATGCTATGCTAATTTATACAATTTTTCACGTACAAAACTCTGTAAAACTCCAAAATACTCCATGCTGGCATATTTATCTTAGGAAAGTTTGATTAAACATTAGCATAACAACTCGAACACCTATAGCTTAAATCTAAGACACAACAAATTACACAACATGAGTATCTATTATAACTATGCACCCAACACAGTTCCATAAACTACCACATTTATAATCTCCTTGAACATTATGTCTCTACAATAAGCAAATAACCATGCAATTACAATGCTATGCCACTATGGCCTGTCCATGACAACTGATTTCTATTCATTTGGGCACGAGTCAGTTGTACATGAGATGCTGTATTGCCACTCAGACAGAAGAGCTACTTAAAATTAACTTGTCTCTGTAAACAAACAATTTTAAGCCGATTCTAAAACGTATTGACTGAGTCTTTTAAAAACAATGTCATGGACAGTTCGGCAACACTCTCTAGGCATATCCAGTAAACATGAATATTCATTAAATAATCATTTTACTCCTATTCGAAGCTCAACATTTAGCACTGCAAAGCTAATATTACGACCTACGCTACCCCTATTCTAGAAATACGGCCAACCAAATTCCACAATTTCAATAAATAACTAAAATTTTCAAACAGGCATCAATAATTATCTTTGAATCTAGCTACCTCAAGCGGGATAGAAAAAATATTAGTATTATATCACACACTTCAGTTTACGTAACTCGTATGATATCCAAAACTTAAAATTAACGCTACAGTAAACTTAGATTGCATAAAAAATCACTTACTCGCAATTTATGTGCTACAAATTAATTTTGTTTGAGACATTTAATAAAATATTTATTGAACATGTAAATAAATAAAAAAATTAAATATACACTCTAACTTATAGTTAAAGTTTTGAGTTGACAAAACTTAAAATAAGTTCTATTCAATTTACCGTCGATACAAACCGAACTTAAATCGATCACGTCTCTGACTTTGCAGGGTAACTACCCTCAATTCGCTAACCTTTACTATTGCCTAACTTTTGAACACGATGACAAATAACAGCGCAACCATCCCGTTCCTTTAAGAACAAACTGAGTGAGACAGCAATATTTTAGCTTCTACCTGTTTTCTGCTTGTCGTTCACGTATTCAATAGTAAAGTTTTGCGAGGATTCCATTTGAGAAAAATCTTGATCATTAATGTTGTTGGCACTTGCTAACAAACATAATGAGATCGTGTAGAGACGAATATATGTACAAGAAATGAGTATGTGATTAGTGAACAAATCCAATGATTGTCATGAATTCAACTAACAAATTAAGGTACAGGTTTTAGGGCAGACAAAAATTAACTATACCAAATAAAGTTATATCTAAACATTCTAAAAATAACTAAAAAACAGAATGAAATAACACAGCTTGGCTCCTCACATCGTTTCGGTGACTACGTCAGATGTTAACCCAAAAAGTGATAACCGTCAATATTTAAATAAAATACACTTTTAAAACTGAATAATAAAATACCTTGACATTTATTTGTCCAAATAATGTTTAATTGAAGCAACAGATGGCGCTTACATTTATATTTGATTATTTGAGAATATGTTTAAATCTTTAAAAAACTGTATTTCATTTAAAATCGCGAGTTAAATAATCGTAAAAACAGCCGACTTGAATGGAATGTGTTGTTATCGGTAATTTATAGACGTATCACCATTATGGAGGAATGAATATCAAATTTTTATTCACGTTTATCGATATTGATTGCAGATTTCGTAAATGTGAAATTAATGATATCATCGGTGAGTTTAAGTTACTATAATGGCAAAGCTATTAACGACACTCCCAAACTTTGACCGTCTGATCAACGCTGCCCGATATGACGTATGGCAAGTTTTTGTGGAAATCTGAAACAAAATTTTAATTATTAAAAAATATTAAATAGACACAAAAATGAGCCTACACTGGTTGTGACCGAAAGAATTTTCTTTATTATACATTTCTTGATATTTTAATAAATTAGTTAACATTTGACGCTTACTATTACGTTATTTTTACGTTTTTTTGTATTCACTATGCATACTATGATAAAAATACTCTTCATTAGGTAAAACTTTTAATTCATTAGGATCAAAATATAAATCTTTTGTTACCCTAAATCCCTTCACCAATCACTGCTATTAAGTCCTCTTAACGTCGAATTATGTAAATTGTGAATTTGAGTATATTTCTCTTATATAAATTATATTTAAAAAAATACAGCGTACCCCTATATATGCGGAAGGGATTGCGCGTTTTATAAAGTACTTATATGGAATGTAACTTACATTAACGACTAACTAAGCAAAGTCGAATCGTAATTTCGTCATTTTAGGGAGTTTGATGTAAAATATAGAAAAAATAATGATAGCATTTAACATTTGCTCGAACGGTGAAGGAAAACATCGTGAGGAAACCGACATGTCTTAGACCCGAAAAGTCGACGGCGTGTGTCAGGCACTGGAGGCTGATCACCTACTTGCCTATTAGATTTAAAAATGATCATAAAAAAGATTCAGAAGTCTGAGGCCAAGACCTAAAGAGGTTGTAGCGCCACTGATTTATTTTTTATTTATTAATGATAGCATACCGAGGCTGGTGGCAAAGTGTTGGTGCGCGTACAAAGTCTTGAGGCAGCGTGTGTGAGCCACGTCCCATACGCGGAGGGTCTTATCATCAGACGCTGTCAGAAGGTAGCGGCCTCCAGGATGCCACACAGCACCTCGCACCCAGTTGTCGTGCCCCACAAGAGTCGCCAGGCATACGCCGGTGCTAACGTCCCATATCTGAAGGCGAAAAAGTTTAATATATTATTGATCAATTTAAATTAGTTTAATGCAATAGAAATGTATGTCGTATTGTCTTTTATTGACATAACTTTTACACATTTAAAGAACACACTTTTTTGCCGAATTGAAGTTATGTATTATTATAAATTTACAATTATTTTATATAATTTTAAAATAGAGGACACCGTGAGTCATTTCTGCCAAAACCCTCCATCTTTTAGTCAATATCAACTCCGGGGAAATAAATACAGATAATACAACTTTTTCTACAGCCGTGATACTTTTTGACATTCAACACCTTTTGTCTTCAGTCACCGTGACCACGCACGCTGTATAGCACGCGAAACGTCGGTTAAATATAAAATTATGGAAATAATTGTAAATTTATAATAATACATAACTTCAATCCGGTAAAAAAGTGTTTTCTTTAGAAATGTATGATTGATGAGTTTCAAATAAACTAAGATTAAAAAAAAAAGACTTATTGGTTGGTTATCATCAGTTTAGAAAGGACTGGTTGATAGTTATGGTTGAATTTACAGATTCTTCTTAATATGTACCTATAGCTAAAATTAAACAAGAATGTTGAAAATCAGTCAAGTAATGATTTTTTTAGTTGCTTATATTTATTATCTAAGGGAGCGTTTAAGTAGTACGTAATGAATGTTTTCCTTTTGTAAAACGTTACGATACGGGGCGGGGATTGAATTACGCGTTATTGTTAATATTATTTTCGATTTAAACCACTAGGTGGTCACGAAACGTTTTACCATACTTGGTAACAGAAAAACGTTACGGCGCGTTACATGGGGGGTGGTCCAATAATCTCCAAAAATTGCGTGACGTAATACTTGAACGCTCCCTAACACAATGATTGTATAACTTACCTTAACAGACTTATCCCTGGAGCCACTAGCGAGGAAGGGTCCGACGTGGTTAGCGCGACGGTTGTCACCACCGGCCGCTTCGTTGACGGCGGCTGCGGCGCTCTCAGGCGCCCATGAGACGCACTCTACCACGTGCTCGTGCTCGCGTAGCTCCATCTGTAAATATCCATAAATAAATAAATTTATTTAATAAGCTAATATTTGGCACTTGAAACTTGTAAATGAAATAGTACAACATCTTTCAGACCACGGAACTTCACTCACAGTCCACTCTGCATCTTCTACCGCATTTACCATGGAGTGTTCAGAGGAGTTGTTCGGATTAATACCTACAGCTGAGTTTCGTCATCGGACGTCGAGGCAGAGTACGAAATTCCACCCGTATCACCTCGACGTCCGCCGTTCCACAACTGAGCGTTTTTCAAGGCAGTTTTTGCCGCGCACCACCACTTTGTGAAACCAGCTGCCCACTAAAGTATTTCCGAACCAATTCAACTTAGGGTCCTTCAAGAAAAGAGCGTACCAATTCTTTAAAGGCCGGCAACGCACTCGCGAGCCCTCTGGCATTGAGAGTGTCCATGGGCGGCGGTATCACTTAACATCAGGTGAGCCTCCTGCCCGTTTGCCCCTGTTCTATTAAAAAAAAGAAGTCCATTCCTAGTCTTGAAACAAATGAATTTATATGCTGAAAATTACCTTGCACTCATTAGTATCAGCGTTCCAGATGCGTACAGTCTGATCGTTGGAGCAAGATGCGAGAAGGCCTCCATCAGCTGACACACGCACCATACGAACCCACTCACGGTGACCCTTGTACGTCTTAACACAGTACCTGGAATATATCAATAGAATCAATTTTCTATCGTCAATCGTTAGTCGTATTTTTTAAACATTATTTCCCAGTATATAAGCTAACAGCTACAATTAGCTATGAATATAAAAAAGAAAGGTTTTATTGAAGTCAACCTTGTTTACAGTTTGAGGTTTAGTACCAAGGATAATTTAATAAAACTTTTACATGATAATAAGACTTGCAAAAGTTTATCAATTAACAAAATTAGTACTAAAATTAGTATTGCCATTACAAGTAAATATATTTAAATATAAAATAAACATAAATTGATAATTAAGACAGTTTTCGATCCATTTAAGTTTCCAGAACTATTCTAATAGTTTAGTTTTCTAAAATATAGTCCGACTTATAAATTAAAACATATCTATTAAAATTATATTTCAAAAATGTTGGCAAAGAATGTGTAGGACATTAAAACGAAATAAGGCCATGTATTTAATATGACATACCCTGTAGCAACCTCCCATGCCTTGATGGTCTTATCTCGGCTGGCCGAGTAGACAATATCCCCACTGGGCGAAAAAGACACAGATGATACATTGTGGTCGTGACCGTGCATTGTCTTCACACATTCAAATGTCTGATTGAAGTCCCACAGCTTAATCGACATGTCAGCACTGCATGATACTGGAATAATTTAGGAAATAAATAAAAAGTGTTTTCTTTAAAGCATAACAAACATTGCATCGGTTTGGCTGAACTTTTTAAAAGGCTCGATAAACACAGCGAGATTTTTAACCAGAGTGAGTGAGAGAGTTACAGACATTCTTTTGTATAGAAAAAATTATGACTTGAATATTTCGAATACATATATGTATTTGTAATTTTTTTTTATTATTTCCTTTATCACGAATGTTCCATATATAGTCGAAATCTGTTTTAACGACATCGGAGGGACAACTCATATTTGGTCGTAAAAACCGATAGTCGTACAGCCGATGACGTTGTTATTATGTACCTAATACAATAGAATTCGGCCGGGAGTTTTGATTTTGGTCAATTAGAACCAGTACGTTCTTCTAAACGATGTTGTCGGAAACGGTTTTGACTGTAGCTCTATGCTAAAATTGGCCCATAACTCGCAATTATTTCAGAACAGTTTAACTTACCTAACAACTTTCCAGAATGGTCGAAAGCAATATCTTGAACAGAGTCAGTGTGACCCTTGAGGGTTCGTTCGAAGTCGCCATTTTCGAAATCCCACACCTTGATGGTGGCGTCCTCGCTCGATGACACTAATAAACTGAACACTGGGTGAAATATTACCTGAAAAGTAACAAACATATTTAAGCTTAACGAAATTAATTCGTACATTGCACATACATAATACATATATTCGTTAAGATTTTTGCTCATACCATGCCATAGAATGCCTGATTTAAATATTTTATGGTAGATTTAAAGGAGTGCTTTTAAGTGAGAAATAGGATAAAAATAAATAATATCTTTTTAATACTATATGATAATACATTTTCATCACACATTATTTATACAGGCACTCTTACAAGTTAGATTTTATATCTAATAAAAGTTGATTGCTGACTTAAATATATATATGTAAGAAGACGAGATTAACCAGCCTAATATGACTATTATTTTTTATAGGGATAACCGCAATAAAATACCTGCAGATAGTATGTAAGAAAAAACATCAAGATGACCACTCTTAAGTAATTATTTTGGCTTCCAGTATGGAATGTTAGTAAGTATATAACTCGGGTCTATTATTAGGACAACGCAGGTGTCAATGCCAGTTATTCTTAGCAATTACTTGCATTAATTTTAACTGTGAGTCGGGTTGTCCTGTTGCAATAATGTAGTATCAAAAATTCTACAATTTTCATCTGACAGCTTAGTTGCGTATAATGTCATCAATCAATCAGACAAAATAGGGTGCATTTATAAATACAAAGACTGTCTTCTTGCCTTTAAAATTATGTATGTGTGGGTGACACTCACTCGGACTTAAATATGTGTCCTCACGCTTATGAAGTTCACTTCTTCCACGGTAATTAAACTTAGCCAATTTTATAATACATTTGTTCTAAGAAAAATAAAGGTAATAAAACAAACGGGCAGCTTTCCTTCCACCGAATGTTATTACTAGTCCTATATTCTATGATTATCTGTTAGCACGATAAATAAATTCAATAGAATAGTTAACGAAATAGAAAAGTATTTATACATTTTTGTATGGACAACTGGAGCACTTTGTAGACACGTTTGAAACTAAAAAACGAAAGCCAGAATTTGTACGCTTTCGTATATGATACAAAATGTTTAAAAACACTGTACAAAAAACTAACGCTGTTATATATATAATGATCGGAATATGAAATTTTGCGTTGTCTATAACTATTACTAGACTAATGACGTGGAATAAGTGATACCTGTATGTTATATCCATAATAAACATATTTTATTTTACTAAATGCGGTTTTATGTCGAACCGTACAACTAAATAGTAACTTTACAAACAATAATTTGATTCGAACAATTTAGATGTTTACGCTAAGGGTACAATTTTACCTTAGTAATAGTAGCACGGTGGCCGGTGAGGCTGAACTTCTCTGGCGGACGAGGTATCCACTCAGTGGGCGTGCGCTTAGCACGCGTAGGTGCACCCTCTATAAACTCCTTCTGCGCCTCGGAGAGCTTTGATTCTAGTTCCATCACCTGTAATTCACAACAAAAATAAATGTAACTGAAATATTTTGAATTGTTCCCATTTTCACGCATATGTAGCCCCCGCGAACTTCGTTTCCCCATAATGTGGTTTTACTTAGCCTACCTTTTTAGTACATACCAACATGGAACATTTTGCTATGCTACCCCAGACTGTTCGAATTTTCTGGATTGAAAGATATTTAGGTTTTTCTGTGAATTTTTCTCTATATATAAACCTCAGAGTTCAAGTCATAAGATTTTAATTAACGAATAAAATAGGGGTTGATTGTAGAGGGATGAAAATTAAGGGTTGTATGTATTTTTGTATGCTGTATCATAAAAAAATATCTAAAAAATACAAATTTAGGGGTGGACCACCCTAACATTTAGGGCTTTGAAATATAGACAGTAGCCGATTCTCAGACTTACTGAATATGTATAAAAAATTTATAAGAACCGGAGGAGAATGGGAACGAACGTTGTGACACGAGAATTTTATATATTAGATAAAAGGAGAAATAAAGGCTTACTATAGCTTTTTTGTATTGTATGAAAGCTAGACATAGGCTGTCGCTTTTTTTAGGCATTATCGAGCTGTACAACTTTTATCTAGAAAGAATGGCAGCGTTTGTAAGTAAGCCTTTTTCTCTGACTTTACAAATCCGACTACCACGAAAGTGTTTTCATTTTTCGGGTAAATACATAGCCTATGACACTTAAAACGTGGCTATCTATTGGTAAAATAATCAAAATCGGTTAAGTGGTTCCAAGGTACCCAACCTCACAAACTTTTGCCTCTTTACAATATTAGTATACATTTATTTTGAATTAAAACCAGGTTCGACAGACCGAGTATGTAGGTGTTACACACCAAATTTTTACTTCATTTATTGAACATTACTTAATTAAAAGATTGGATTGGCAATTGCCTTGCTTGATAACTTTTACTTTAAAGCAAAAGTAAGTACTCTAACTGTCATATAATGTGTCGAAAGCAAATTTGCAATATGTTTATAAATTACATGTGTCATGATAAAAAGTCAGTAGGTTAATTATATCCACCTGATGCATTAGCTAACGATTATAACTGTCAATCTAACCGACACATGCGATAGCACAGTTTTTCTGGTTGACAAAGATGCCATTTCATCCAAATATGAAATTAGTAATATGTATAACCTCATAAACATCTTCAATGATTTCTTACCACGTTTAAAATGATATTTTAAAATGTATGTAGAAAAAACGAAATATTAAAGCTACTCGACCCTCCCACGCTCATTAGAAGAATCAATTTTTCACACGAAAAACCGAGTTAAGATTAAGATCACTTAGCGGTTTAACTGCAATAAATTTAATTTATGAAAAATACTTTTCTGGCTTTGAATAGCTGAAAACAAAAGTATATTAAGTTAAAACGAAAATGTTCGCTAGAAAATGATATCATCAGTATATTATACAAAATAAAATTAATTTGTGTCTGGAGTGTTCTGACATTTAAGCAATACATGGTCGCCTAAATAGTAGATATTTTTTATATATGTTTGTATGCACATCACGGAGTTATTGAAATATATCTATGTTAGATATGTACAAATAACCTATTATATGCATTAGCAGTTAAAAAACAGTTCACTACGTAGTGAATATGCAGATAAAAGTCAACCACGAAACATTATAATGTTAAAATATATTTAAAAACTAAAAACACAATTTGTAATACTCTGCAAACTTATAACTAAAACAATTTTAATTCGTATATGTTAATTATATATGCAATATTTTAATGACATTCCATAAGTACATTCCTTACGAAACTCATAAGTGCAGACCATTGCAAAGCCGAGGCAGGCCGCTAGTGTTTTACAAAAGCCTGATAGCGACCTAGAAACGTCGTCGCAGCGATCGATAGCCATTCCCTAGGCTAAGCTCGGATCGCATGCCAAGCTACTTGCATTTTACAACACAAGGAACATTTTAAAAATGGAACATTATAGACGTTTTGTGCCGGGTAGACAAAAATCGTACATTTATATTGAGAACTAAGTTTTTATTATAGAGAAAAACATTCAACGGAGCTCAGCTAGTCAAACACGACCTCAGGGGTGAAAGTTCAAATTCAAAAATCATTTAATCATATAGGTAACACATTGTACACTTATGATCGTCAAAAAAAAAGAAATGTATATGAAATGCTTCTAACTTTACGTTTAGTGCCAGTTCTCAAATCAAGGGCGTAGAACGGAAGAGAAGAACTGGCAATAAACTTTCCGCCACTCTTTTTTATCGCCATGTTTTTTTTTACACAACGTTTGTAAGGAGCTGCAACCATCACACCATGTTCCACATGACATCTTAAGCAATTAATAATAATAACATTAATTAAAAACAAAGACCCGTCCTCCAACAGCATGAGGCATGGTGGAATAGGAGCACGCACTCACATTCTCGTGGGAACAACACGCAAACACATAGTCGAAACAACTAACATCACCGCATACAAGAATTCAAGTACGACCAGTCACCACAAGCAGCACCCGCTCACGAGTACGACGCATGGCCAGCCATCGGCCCTCTCGACAGGCACACATTTTTTTTATTGTGGACAGCGAGAGGCTGATGAAAATGAAACTCAAAACAACAAAAAATGTGACAATCTAATACAGGTTGTGTGACCACAGTTTGACTTATTAACTCCAAAGATACAATTATTTGCGCTATACCCCTTCTTGTAATCAATAAGATGCGTCTACAAGCATTTCAAGGCTAAGCGAGGGTCGCAAACGCGGTGCATTGTTTTGATATACGAAGCCATTTCCGCACACCCTCACCCCTATTTATATGTAACATGTGTTTAAAAGTACACTTGTCTACTTATTCGAAGAATGGGATGGGCGCATTTAACTCAAAAATGAGAAACAATGACTAACTTTTTATATTCTACATATTTACGCAAAATACTTCATGTCTTTTTTCTATAAATTTTTAGGTTTAATCTAATTAATTATATTATAAGTTTTTCACATACTATGGAGGCGACGGAGTTTTCTCTGCCTTGCTATTGGATGAAATTAATTGTAACAGATAATATTCTACTATTAAGGTTATAATGTAAAGCATCTCTAGTCCAATCATGCGCCTTAATTCCCAAGCATTACCCCTGATAGGATATCGACAATTTTTTCTAAGAAGCGTATAATATATGCCAGTTTTTTAATTCTACACATATAGCATTGCAACCTTTAGCTCGTTAATACAGTTAAAAAACTATTCTAACGTTTCAATTTGAACCGTTGCCTAATTAACAAATAAACGTTATTTTTACGAGGAAAACGCCGTGAAAACATCGTAGGCGCATCCTTGACCCTATTACGCAGCACCGGATTTCAGAACTACGTAAATGATCTAAATCAATCAGACTAGATTTACACGTTAGGAAAACAAATAGTAGATAGTATAGTACCTACAATTGTAGTATAGGTATATAGTAGGTACTTAACTGTCACGCAATGATTGTACAGTATTAAATACAAACAATCTACTAAAAATTTCATTTATATAAACAGTCAAAACCGTTTACGACGACATCGTTAAGAACAACATACCGGATATATTAACCAAAATCAAAGGTCCCGGCTGAATTCTATTGTATTAGGTACTTAATAACAACGACATCGGCTGTTACGACTATCGGTTTTTACGACCAAATATGAGTGGTCCCTTCGATGTCGTTATAACAGATTTTGATTGTATATCAATCAGGCAGGTACAACTACTAAAACCTCAGATTGCAATCGATTCGGTTCCAACTAATTTAATCTAAAACTGTATATGGAATAATCTAAACCCAACATTATAACGTTTCTTCTATACAAAATTAAATAATCGATTAATAGAATATACACGCTCTCTCCACTTTTTATACAATTAAGTGTTTAAGTTGCTATGCTGTGATCTATAATTTTCCTTATCAAACCTACCTTTTTCTGTAGCCTGATAACAGACGTCCACTTCTTCTCGAGGAGACCACCAAATTTGCGGTCCATTTCGCCTGTCATATCCGCTTCCTTCTTGAACGCTTCCAGCGCGTCCGTGTATCCATTGCTGCCTAAGTAGTCGGCGATAGCTTTGTTTCTGAAAATAAATAAATCACATATTTAATCTGTAGGACTTTTGTACTTAATCATTTCATTTTGTGTCCGTAAAATTACTTTGTATATAAATATAACTTTTTAAAGTAGTGATAATGTAAAACAAAAAACCCGTGTCGCTGCATTGCGATTGGTAAAGTCAAGGTCAGTCTATTCCAATAGCAAATACGCGATACGGTCCGTCTTTCTGTTTGACCAACTAAAATCAAACGACACGTTTTGCTTGTTTCATGCTTATTGCATTTATCAAAAGTAATAAAGTAAATCTCCAGAAATTTTAAAGACGAATACGCCTAAGAACAATCTAGGTAACTACGCAATCACTAGCATAGCACAACAGGTGAAATTTATGTACTAAGAATTTCGATATTGTCGTAAGAACAAGGAATTTTAAACGATTGTACGACCTTTACTATGTTTACTAGTTTTCCTAAAAAGATAACTCATGCGTCCTTCCATTGCTATATCCGCTTATACGGACTTAGATGCCTTTAGAAGGAAATGAGGAAATAAAGGATAAATGTCTATGAAGTCAAATTGAATACTCAAACCCAACTATACGGAAACGCATTAGTTAAGCCTTTTCATTCTTTAATAATTTGGAACATTTTAGGAATACCAAAATTAGTAATTTTCATCGTAATTTAGAACAGTCTTGGCGTGAAGATAACATAAATAATTTGTCTTAGCTGAGAATTAACTTAAAACAAAATCTATACGAATACAGACAACAGCGAATTAAACGTTTATTAGAATATTCCTCCCATTTAAGCTTAAAATAATTTATAACGTCAAATCACTGTATTATCAAAATAAACAATTCCGCATACGGAAACTTAGAAATACTATCAAGAATAAATTAAACAAGCTTAGGTTGATGTCATCGTCCATTTTGTCAATGTCACGTAACGCACCTGTACAGCTTCAGCGGCTAGCAGCTGCCGACAAATTGTTTCTACTAACCTTTAATCATTATTTTTATTCAATAAAAACTACAGAATGCTTAAATAACTTTACGCCCATACAATACATATACGTTTGGTACAAGTCGTAGTTGGTTTTACTATGGAAAAAAGGTACAACTAAAGTAGCCATTTAGATCGTTAATAATTTGGTACCAACGCCATCAACATACTTTATATGGTAACATTTATGTGAACTTCTGATATTGTACAATAGTGGAGGTCTTTGATTATAAGAAAAATTGTTTTTTAATTATTTAGGACTAAACATAGTTAGGACATTGTTTGTTTGATATAAATAATAAATAATAAAATTAATCACGTACATCAATCGCGTCTCCAGTGATATGTATAAATGTGTATATTATATAAAATTGAAAATACCGCGTGTATTTTCAATTTTGAAAGAGACAATACTGAATCTTATGTGGAGTTGTTTGTCCTTCAGATTATGTTCACGTTAGTAAGAAAACGTATATATCTACGTTTTCATACATACGAAAGATATTGGAAACTCACGATAGTGTAAATTGATTTAGGCTTAGGTGTCATAGAAGGAGCACTTCTACGAGCAGACGAAATATATTTTAATTAGTAAGTCTAGGACCTACAAGCAATTAACCAAATTCCTGTCTCATGCCTGTCAAGAGCTCAGCCGAAAGTTAATTATTAAGTGATGTGAGAAATTAATTAATAAGTCTAACAACAATTACTTCATATATTAGATACTAAATCTTTCTTTGAAATTGTACACGCGAAGTACAAACTTTCTAATAGAAATTGTAAGGAAAAGCTTGATTGGAGTTATTCCATATGAATTATGTATAAGTTTTGAGTGAGGTCTTAGAATTCAAGGTAATTACACTAATAATAATTAAATTGTGAACGTTTATTCTTTATGATAAACGTCTAGTATTTTATTCATTTTGTACTTTTGTAATGTTCACGAGTTTCTTAAGTTTTAAGAAATGTGTACCACGGTATCTTCAATCTACTTACACAGTCTCAAAGCACTGGGCTATCTCTTTCATCGTGTACTTGTAGAAATGAATTTGTAATAATAATAGTTTTCATCTGGTAGTGAATTCACTTCTTTTCTTCTATTAGTAGTATCTGTGTTTAGTTAAGAAAAATATCAATCTTTTTCTTGCCTATCAAAATTTATCGCACGAGTAGCACCCTTATGGACTCTTCCGAACATTAATGCTTATGTTAACAAACATCTCTTGTAGGACTAATTTGTATGGAAATACTGCTTATTTTTTTGTGGCATATCAATCTTACGTTTTAATTTAAACTAAATTTTTCTAGGATTCAAACTCAGAATCATCAGGTCTCATAAAACGACTAAACGTATGAGTCACGAAAGCTAACCATTAAACAGTTGTAAAACCAATGACAGAATGTTAATTTCTCGGCTATTTTAAGTTTGCAATGTCAGTGAAACTAAATCGATTGTGAAGACAATCAGATGCGCGGGAGTCCCTATTGTTCGCGTGGGAGTTATAAAGTTACATTATTTTCTGCAAGTGAAATTTTAAAAAGCGAATCTATATCAGTTATGGAAAGTTTTAGAATTATTTCATAATGAAACCAATACCTGAATACTAATGTAACTTAATTCTATTCAATCGCAGTATTTTGATCTCATACTGATCATATCTTTCTCATATTAACATAGGGCGCTATAAGACAAGTGAAATGTCTGTTTTGTTTCAGACATTTACTACATATGGGACATCACCCAATTAGGGTCACCTTATAAGCATCTTGTAAAACAACACTTAGCGATTGAAGCGAGTGGCAACGTTTCTTGCTCCTTCTACGCCTTTGATTTGAGAACTGGCAGTGAATGTTAATTTAAAGACGATTTTTTTACGTTACTAAGTGTAAAAAGGTTATATTTTAGTTAAATATTCTATTTTAACCTAATCGTGACTCTAATCAGACTCCTATCAGACCCACTATTCCATTACCTAACAATAATTTTAATATAAAAAATAAATCAGTGGTGCTAAAATCTTTTTAGGTAGGTCCTCAGATTTCTGTATCACGATCATTTATCAATCTAATAGCAAGTAGGCAAGTAGGTGATCAGCCTCTTGTCCCTGACACACGCCATCGACTTTTTGGGGCTAAGCCAAGCCGGTTTCCTCAGGATGTTCCTCCACCGTTAAAGCGAATGTTAAATGCGCACATAGAAAGTCCATTGGTGCAATGCCCTGGATCAAACCTACGACCAGGGGGATGAGAGTCGCAACCTGAAGCCACTAGGCCAACACTGCTGTCTAAACACTGCTAAACGTAACACCACGATTAAAAGAACACTTAGAACATCTTAGATTACATTTAGATTACCCCATTTGATAATTTTTTCATATATATCACTTATTAAATATCTACAGTGAGTTCAACGTACGAACATGATTATCTCCTAGCCAGTGTCACGTTACATAAGAAACATACAAACCGCAGTCATGCCAAAGATATTCTTCAAGTATTGTGTAAGAAATAAATCTGTCTATTCTTAGCTTTGTTTCCACTTGCATATCAAGTTTGATACCACTATTATTTCCATTTTTTTTCTTAAATTTATTCCCACTAATGCCCTCATTTCTAAACGTTTTAAATCTCAAAAAGCTATTTTTTTTTCTAAGATTACATATTTTAAAGGAATATAAAGAATTCGGAAACCTTTATTATCAGCAGGCACCTTACAGTGACGCGACCCCCAACAATGAATATTACGACTGTGCGAAGCACTAGTAAATTTTTCAGAAGCTAAAACGACAATATTGTTTGTTATTTTGGTATAATTTATGATGTTTTAAAATGTTGGTATGAGATCTACAGGAAAGGAATACACGCGCCAGCTTACGTTCACCACGCAAAATCTCTGACGAACCTTGGCGATTTTATAAGCGCCCAAAATGTTATAGAGTTATCAAATACCCAAGCATCATCATTATGTATAACACAAAACGTTTTAACCACACTTTTCTTATAAATTTGAGACACTCATATAAAAAAGATAATATAATTTTGTAAAGCTACGGCTTACGCAATATATAGTAAAAACTTATGGTTAAAGTTTTTGCAAATGTACTTACGCAGCGAAAGTGGTTTTGTATGAACTCACTTGGGATTAACTTTCACGAACCATTTCTACGAATGAAATGGCAAAGGGTCTATCTCAATTTGTGTTATAAACGAATTTTTATCATTAAATGTGTGATTCATAGTTAATGTAATGGGATGTGTATTTATTGTCAAAGTAACGCGAAAGTAATTAACATTGACATTGAAATCCTCTTCTATTTTAATGCATCACAGTAAAATTAAATACATTAGTTTTTTTTTATATTCTAGGACAAACATGACGTTAAAAACCAGTAGCGCTACAACCTCTAAGATCTGCGCCTCAGTTTGTTTCGTTAGCATTTATTTTTTCTAATAGTTAAGTAGGATCAGCCCTTTATGACTTACACACGCCGAATTTTTAGAGTCTAAGGCTGTGTGCCATTTACCGTACGAGCAAGTATTAAATGCGCACATAGACCTCAGTGGTAAGAGCACGCTGAAGCCTTTAGGCCAATAGTGCTCACAATAGGACGTTTTGGTACAGATAACAATTAGTCATTGGAAATGTATATTTCTAGCAAAAAAAATATTTTGTATTGCTAGAAAATGACATTTTGATTATTCGTGTTTACATGTTTACATACAATAAATCCATCAGCATGATTCGTTATGAAAATATTTGAATAAAACGGTTTCTCATATCTAAACTACTGTGAAGAGATTCATTATACTCCATATATTTAAATCACTACTGAAATTACCAATAAACATGAATTAATTAAACACACCTTACAACCTAAACAATTACTCGACTATAAACATTAAAATAAATACAGAGTGTCCCGGCTTTGTATCTCCAGTAATCTTTTGTAAACGACTAAAATATATAGCGTAAAATTATATTGCAAATCAAATTCAGTCGAATTATAATAGAGAATAATTTGCTGAGTTATGGCGCTAATCATTCAACGACACTACATTTATTGGCAAGTAGCTGCCAACCTAAGGACAAGCAATGGTTTTCCCTCGGGATTGAGATTCACTTAGCCACCATGCTAACACTTCACCAATGAATGCTTCATACGTAAATCAATAATATTTTAAATATTATCGAAACAATGGTTTTACTTCACCCTGTAGCTACTTGTTAACTGAACAAACATAATGATGCAAATCAGAGTAAGCGTAACATTTGCAATGACTATTCAACTCGTATATTCAAAGTAAACAATGTCTAATGGTCGAGTTTCTACATCTCAGGGAGCTATTCAAACAATTTGGTGAAAGGGATTCTAATTCGAGACTGGAATACATATCAGGAAACAAACAGATAATTTAATAGAAACAACAAGACTAATTTAAAATTAGTATTGGATGTACACCAGTTTCACAGAAAAAGAATCATGGAAGACAATATAATATAGAAAATCACAAATAAGACGACAAAAATACAAATAATTATAACAATGAACAATACACAAAACTTAAGAAAATCTAATTGGTAATATCAGAGAGAAGGATCAGTACCAACATTCATTTGTTTTTTTTATGTTACAATGGGCCTTAGACAAAATTATCTGCAGACGTGACCAGCTAATAAATATAACATTCTATGGGAATGACAATAACTCACGCTTGTCACGTATCTCTATACAAATTCGATTGGAGTTAGCAGGTTAGAAAATATATTTTTGGTTATATGTTTCTCTGTATTATTTTCTATGCTTATACACCTTCCGTAGGGTATTTGATAAATTACGTACGTACAGTCAAAATCTGTTATAATGACATCGCAGGGACAACTCATATTTGGTCGTAACAGCCGATGACGTTGTTATTAAGTACCTAATACAATGGAATTCAGCCGGGACCTTTGATTTTGGTCAATATAACCGGTATGTTTTTCTAGACGATGTCGTCGTAAACGGTTTTGACTGTATTAATAAAAAACAATATCTGTTCATTATATTTATATCATTAATTTTAGGATACTTTAACACATGGCTTGCAAAGTTAAACCCAATGCGTTAAACGAGTTACGAAAAACATACAATAATACGTCGATCACCTGTCGTAAGGTACTTAAAGAAACCTAAAGACACTGCCCATAATAGAGCACGTCCCGCGTCATCAAAACAAAAGAATTAAATGGAACAAACTGTAATTAGTCTGATCGCAATGAAGAGCACGTAAGAATTTACATATTTACTCGAATTCTTAGTCGTTTTCGAAAAGTTACGCCATGACTATGTTGCAATTTTTGGACCTTACATGCGTTAAGCCTAATTCTCATTTACATTGAAATATCAGGCACAATTTTTAAATAAAATATTCAGTTTTGTATCGCGCAAACCTGACATACAACGACCAATATTTAAGCTTGACGTTTAAGAAGGAAGAGGGGAAAAGTGTATTAAGAATATCCATAGTCACTAAATCACCTGCATCATGAGCACACCCCACATACAGACCATCACACAGCACACCCGAATTAGGTATGAACCTTTTTCTATGTATTATCGTGTTATGTATTCAATTTTTGGCTATATCTTTAGTATAATTGTTTTTTTTGTTGTCTATAATTTATGTTAGCTATATTTATATTGAAATACGAAATAAATAAATAATATCATTTGGGATTATGCGACAACGTAAGTAGGTAAAATGCATATATGACAAATGACAATGTTTGGTGACAAATTTTAAAAGCGGATAGAGAGATTTGGTTAAGGACGATTTTTGGTGGTTTGAAATATCAACGTTTACAAGAGAACAAGAAATGCAAACCTAATAATGTTATACTTTTTTTTAATATCATTACTTTATAGTGGATGTTAGACATGGCGTTTATTCAGGGTCAAAAAGACTGCAAAGTTTTGTTAACATAAATGCATTCGGCTACTAATGACAGAAATTGTTTTTTTAAAAGCTGCGAACATAAAAAATCCAA